TAAGTATATATTTGCAAACAAAACTTAATTTTACATCTGGTCATATTTGTCTGTTTGTTGCACATGTATCGGTATTTGTGGATTAAATGCCTGCTTTGATGTAGTTATATATTACTTTCAGTAACTTTTCTTTGAGAAAGACAGTGTTTTTCTTTAAGTTGGGGGTTCTATACAGACTACACATTAAAAAAATAATGCTATGCCATATTACCGATTATTTTACTACCCTCATGTGGTAATGAATGGTGGTTTAAAAAAAAAAAAAAAAGGGTTGTTTAGTATCATTACTTGAAGTCATACTCCATACTGTGGAATCCTATTTTACATTGTTGAAATATGGGTATAATATAGCTAGCTAAAAGGGAGAAGAAAAAAAATCCAAAATGAAGGTATTGGCAAATGCTACAGATTTAAGGTGTGAAATCTTGATGTTTTCCAGAGGTGGAGAGAGCTTTCCAGTGTAGCCTTTCAATAAGGCTGTGTCTTCAAATGAAGACCTGTGAAATGAGAGCTTATCCTGTGCCAAGGCAGTGACATAAGGGATGTCAGAACGGATCAGAAAATGAAAAACTTATGTAGCAGTTTGTGTCCCTTCCCCTTTGCCCCCACCTCCAAAAAGAAACCATGGTAGTTTGGAGTCTCTTCAAGCTCGTGAACGAGCTGCTAGGAAGATGGGTTATTAAACAGTATGGACAACATGATCAAAATATGTAATGCAGTGTATCCTATGATGTTGTTCATTGTTAGATATCTAACATGTATGTGCATGGATGAAAGTATTTTTTATGTACACAGTTGTAATCATACACGCAAATTGTAGTTACAGCTCTAAACAGTATTTGAAGTGTAAGAGATTAACTGTGTTACAAGACTTGAAATTGCAAGAACAAAGGTATTCTGTGCAGGTCTTGCGGTAAATATTATTTGTACTACATTACTTAAACGCTATTACTACCTTTGTTTCTGGAAGGTGGATTAAAAACTAGTAGGGGACATGGTAATTGCAATTTAAATGGTGAAAAGTTGCAGTTCTGTCATGGCAATTGCTCATTGTTTTGTCTTGGTCCTCTGACATCATTGTCCTTGTCTTTTTCTTGTCTCTGCTTTCCCATTATGCCATTGGCAAGGAGTTGAGAAGTTAGTCCATTACTTCTGTGATAAAGCGTGGTACAGTACAACTTCAGATTTCTTCCCATCTCCTCACGCATTTTCACTGTTGTGTTGGGTTTTTTTCTTTTGTTTGGTTGTTTTTTTCCCTATGCATGATGCATGTCTATCGGAGATGTGCATGCAGTTTTCAGATTTCTCATTGCTTCACTTCCCTTGTTCCTCAAAATACTGCAGGGAGAAAATGCCTTTATTTCATTCTACAGAGGTATTAGGGTATCAAGATGGGGACTGAGGTTAGAGATACAGAATAACCAAAGCAAAACTGAAGGGAATTTTAAAGTAGTGATATTGTAATGAATGTCACTGTCATGACCACATTGATTTGACTTCTTTATCAGTATAACATACTTGTCTCGATTTTCCAACATAAAGCTAGTACAATCTCAGTAGTTCAATAACTGTGTAATCCTCTTTGTGGATATGTTGTCATTTTTCTCTGGATGAGGTAATAGCCAGTTTTACTTGAGAGAAATAAGAGAAAAATCTCTTAAGCTAATGTGGTAGGGACTGCAATTTAGTAATTTTGATTGGTGCATCAATACATGCAAGTCTTTGAAGCTCTTTCTAGTACAGAAAAGTCTGTTTCTTTGTTGTGCAAAAAGGAGCATGTGCACAAAGCGTTATGTCTAATATACTTTCAATTTGGGGAGAACTAATTCAGTTACACTGTACTCAAAATGTTTTAGAGTCCAACTTCACATTTTAAGAGCATCCCAAAGGAATGCAGGTGTTTGTCCACCTGTATATTTTCCTTATGGGACAAAAATAGAAGTCTGGTTAGCATGACAGTCTGCACCAAGTCATGGTCTGTCCCACCCTGAAATATCAAAAGTGCACTCAAAGCAATGCAGATGACAAACTTTTTTTTTTTTAAGACTTCCATAAAATAAAATACTAGGCCTAGAACGTGGAATGCTTCTTTATCTTTCTATTCCCCCCTCCTTCTTGTGACGGAATTCACCAAGTACTAGTCCTTCTGCTGGCTGGGGGTTTTTTTTGTGGTGGGGTTTTTTTTTTTTTGACTAATAACATGCCCATCATTTATTAAGACTTCCCTATTAAAATGAAAACTTGTGCATAAGGCAAAGATGTGAGCTGTGGAAGAAGATAATGCAGTTTTCACTGTTAAATACCTTGTCAACTGTTACTTGCATAATTTGGAAGTGATGTTTTTCTTTCTGTGTCCTCTTGAATGTTAATACATGTAGCAACTTGAAGAGATTAAAAACTGTAATCATCATAATTGGACAGACTTTGACTAAGTAGAAATACAAAATTAGAAAACAGTACAGTATTTAAAACAACTTAGCAAAGGTGGTACCAGAGCTTTAGTGTCCTCATAATTCTTAGCACGTAGCTGTTTTCTACCTTTGAATTGCTAACTTTCTGCATATTAAGCTGCTTAGACCTTTTTCGGTTATGAAGGATAATGAGGAAAATGTGTATTTGGCTATTTTTATATATAAAAATGCAAAATTGCCCAAATGGAAAAGCTCAAATATTACCTAGTTTTTGTCAAAAGAACTCAAAATAGCATTATTAAAAGCTTACTGCTTTGCTGTATTTCAGATATTTTTGTGTTTAACTCAACTTTCCATACAAATTTAGTTTCTTCTGTAACTTACAAATTTTTCATTTTGCTGATTAGTATAACTAGGATTATTTGATATAAGGATAGGATTTGTAATGCTTAGATTCAGTATTTATCTGTGTTTTTGAAGACTGGCATTTAGAAACCCGTTCTAGGTGAGGGGGGAAACTTTTGTGACAATTATTTTTACATATTAGAATCTGACACAATACTGTTTGCTATAAATGTATCGATTTTTTTAATTCAAGTAGGATTAGAAAATTGGAATTATTTGTCAAAGTATTTTTATGGGAATCAGGTATATATTGCTTTGGTTTCTGCACTTATTTTTAGCAGTTTTGTTCTTGCAGGTGAGGTTGCAAACCAGTAAATCATTTTGGGTAACATCTGTCTGTAAGCTGGAAGGATAATGACTTCTGTAACCCATTACATAAACACTGAAAAAATGACAAATCTGGAGGATTCTTTTTTTTTTTTTAACCTGTAACTCTCTTAATATATTGAAATATTAATTGTGTTTAGTACTTCCTTCCTGTAGGATTGCTTGGTTAAGAAGGATTCACAAAGTTAAGCTAGTTTTGGTCACGTAAGGAATAATGTTTTGATACTCATTTGACACTGTTTTGAATGTTTTTTTCTTTTTTTCCTTTTCCTCCCTCTTTCCAAAACAATTGTGTTTAGACTGCTCAACATATTTGCACTTACCTGTATATCACTTGCTGATGTCACTGGTCCAGCTTAGATGTTGCCTTTGCTTACAGGTAGAACCAGTATATTCTAAACAGAAAAACTGCTAGGAAATCAAAATTAGATTGAGAAACCTTGATATTTCTCTCATTACCTTTAAATTTTTTTTCTTGATGAGGAATTTTGAGGATTCAGTTTTCAGTTGTAATCCTGCCAGGGAAAAGATGAAAAGCTTAAGGAATCCCGAGACATGCTATCGTCCCAGAAATGTAACAGGACTTTGGCATGCACAGCTATTATTACATTCTTCCTGCTGATTCTGAGGGGAGCTAAAAAGACCAGACAAATAAACTTCATTCAGAAGTTATGAATAATTCAAGAGAGTGACTGAAGTGACATTTTTAGTCAAATCTCTTAAAGACAAACATTGCTTCTTTTTTACTGACTATATTTCACTCTTAAAAAAAACCTGTTTACTATGTACATGCAATCTGTCAATTGGTAAGAACTCAAGTAGTTTAGGGATAAGACTAGCTTGCGGTAGTTCAGTTCCGCTCCTTCACAAAGAAAATGAGAAAACTGTCCAAACCTGAAACTTGCTAAAACTATAGTTTAAGTTTTTAATCTGTTTTGGGATTTGCCATCAATTACAGAATTTTTAATAAATCTCCCAAGATCTGTATACAAGTTGCAGGTCTAGGATGTGTTTGTGAAGCTAGTACACACATTAATCTTTAAAGTCTTTTTACAGGGAAGAGCAAAGAGAAAATAAAAATGACCCAGAAGAGGTACTGGCAATTCTCTTGTCTGATACATGTCTGATTAGATTGTATCTTCTGATAAAATGTAAAATCTTCATTAAGTTATCTTTGTCCCTTGGTTATCAGTGTAGTAGTATATGATCTCTAGCTTCACATGTACTCTGTTGTACTGCTTTGTAGGAAGATGGTTTCTTTATCAGCCCATTTGGAATCCATTCAAGAAAAACAGTTACCTAAGACTAATCAGTAGCCTAATTACAGCATACCTGTATCAGATTTTCTGACCTCTGTAAGGCAAGGAAAATGCACTGTAAATTCATGTGGTCCATTAAACTCCTTTCCTGCCTGTACAGTATGGAACATTGATAAAAGGTTTGGGATAGCTAACTTGAGCGTGCAGTGAATAGAAATTAAAAGATGGATACAGTCTGATAGCCGTTGCATTTGTTTATTCAGCACTTCAGAGTTGATCAGTACTTGTGTGCAATTCTTATGCTGTCCTGCAGATTTAGGTGAAACCATCAACCATGCCTTTTTCATGATTCTTTTTTTAAGCTAATGGGTTTCTTTTTTGTCTCTGTGTTGTTATATATTTCAGTACTGGTGTAATTTTTTCCACTTAAGTTACGTGTCCCATGAACCATTCTGTTTTGCCAAAGTTAAAGTTTTGATTTTAAAAAAAAACAGATATACAGCCCTTATCAAGCATCCAGTCAGCGCACGTTGGATTCAGAGTGTTATTTGGTGTTTTCTTTGCTTAATATATTATTGTATTGTTTTCTCTTTAACAGCCTCAAGTACTACAGCCTTCCAGCAGCCTTCCCAGTTCCACAGACCTCGCCCAGGGAAAACTAATAAAAATGCCACATATCGAGGCCCACAGTGAATATCCTAAACATGGTCTGCATGAAAATAGCAATCATCAGAATCAAAACGCTGCAGATGTGTCTCTCACAAATAGCCTGAATGATGTAAACTCTTTAATGAGCATACAGTTAAACATAAAAGATGAGAATGCATCATATTTGGAAAATTTGAAAAATCAAAATACTGAAGACCCTGGAGAGGTGGCTATTAATAAAGAAGGT